TTCTGGTTGTAATCAATACTGAAAATTTACTTGTTTAATGTTCCATAAAGAGGGTGAATTAGCGACACATGTGGCTTAACTATGAATTGATCTGCCTCCACTTTACCTTCTCTAACTCAATCTAAATATATTAGTAATTATTCTGTAGAATCATAGTATAGCAAATCTAATAGTTAGTGGCAGTTTCATTGGTGGGCTAAGAACTCACCCAGCAGGCCATAGGGTAAGCCAGGTGATCTTCCTTAGCTGGTTCTAATTTGGCCTCTCTTCTGGTGCTCAATTAAGGTACCCAAGGGTTTTAACACTTTATCCTTAGAGTTTTTGCAATTTTCCCAGGTGACTCTGAAAAGAGACCCAGATTAATTAATGCAGTAGAGAGAAGTTTTAGCAGGTGTGGAATCCCACAGCTCATCTACTTAAAGATGAAAGCCTCAGAGACTACAGGACTTTAGCTTCACCTGTGCACCATGTTCCATAGTTCACCTTCCCTCTGTTTTTAAATTCTAAGTAATTGCATTGAACAGAAAATCTGACTTACAGTGGGCCAAATTTAAGGACACCATCCTCTTTTTCCTTTCCCTGAATCCGTTAGCTTCTTTGACACTGTAATCTTGGGGGTTCCATCTCACAAGCGAGTGACCTCAGTTCTTGAATGAGCATGGCAGCTCCCAAATCTAAACTCCTGAACTGTAGTTGGTGTGGTTGGAAATGGGCTTCATAAACCAATTACAAAAGTGTCTGGAAGTTTTCCAACTGTCGTCGCTGTCCATAGATGGCCCAAACCCAGCCTGTCCCAAGCAGAACTTGTTCCATTCGCCTGCGCCCTTTTCCATCCTTTCATGCACCCAGATTCATAACCTTGGAAATAACCATGCTGCTTTCCTCTTTCTCAACCCGTCTCTAGGCAGCTGTTAAGGTTTGGTGATTTTCCCTCTATAATGTCTTATCTCTGTCCCCTTCCTAGTCAAACAGCCTGTACCCTAGTTCTTTTCTTATGGCCTTGTCTGAATAAGCATTGGTTGGCCTCCTCCACACAGCTGTTGGATTATTTCCAAAACCCCAAACCCAACACGTATCACTCCTGTGTTGAAAAGTCTTCAGTGTCAGACGCTCCATCTTGCAGCTCTGGCTCCCATCGAACCTAACAGTCAGTTCTCTGCTCTGGTCCAGGTCGAGGTTGCCTGTATTTTGTTCTCCGCTGCTCTCTCTCTCTTTTCATAGGCCTCCTAGAATCCTTAGCCTGCTTCCTTCTCTGCACAGGCCAAGTGTTAACTCCTCCGTGAGGCCCTTTCCCAACACCTCCCTGCCTCTTGAGATGGCTTGGTCAGCGTACATTACATTTGCTCATTTGTGTACATCTGTTTTATTCATCGCCCTTAAGGTAAGCTCCTAGAGGGCAAGCACTGTGGGATACTTTCATTCCTAGTACCTCACACACACGTAGTCCTACGAGGACTTACTACTCCTTGAACAGAGGGAGTTTTTTCAGGTATGGGTTGGCCTGGAGGGCCTCTGGGGCTGTTCTTAAGTCTGCTTCCCACCCACACATGCTGGGGAATGACTGTCAGAGTAATCAGAAGTTAGCACCAGGACTGAGAATCCTTTTTTCATTGATACCTTTTGTATTTTCACATCAGTCATTACTTAATATCCCCCCCCACCTGCCTGCTTTGCACACCCTCCCCCCCCCCCCCCCCGAACACACATGAACACACACAAAGTTGACCCCTCTTTTCTGTAATGGAGGAAGACAGTTAAGGAAAACCAGAAGATACAACTCTTTGCTGTCTATGCAGAGTCTGGAGTTCTGAATCTATAATGTCTCGTTTCTCTACTAAACTAAGGAGGGAAGGGGAAGTGTGTCTTATCATCTGTTGTCATTTGTAATTAAGCCGATTCTGGCAGCCTTTTAATGTAGTAAACCTTTTTTTAGCTGCTCTAGAAAAGAAGCATGGGGGGGGGAATGTGTGTGTGGGGTGTGTGTACATGCATTTAAAAAAAAAAACTTCATGTAAGCACTTACTGCTGGGTGGTTTGGCCAGAGTATAATAAGGTTGTTAACAGGTTTTCTGTGTTCTGCCCTTTGTCCCCAGCTGCTACACTGGCTTCCTAGCTGCTCATGCATGAGAGGAATGGGGAACCTGAGGCCTTGAGGCCACATGTGTGGCCTTCTAGGTCCTCAAGTGCCACCCTTTGACCAAGTCCGAGTTTTACAAAACAAATCTTTTTACTAAGGGAATTTGTTCTGGGAGGTCTGGATTCAGTCAAAGGGCTGCACTTGATCTTAGAGGGCCACGTGTGGCCTGGAAGCAGCAGGTTCCCCACCCCAGCCACGACACTCTTCTGGGTTGGTCAGGTGTACATCATTTACATGTGGTTTGCATGTTTTCTCCCCCATTAGATTGTGAGATCCTTGGAAGCAGAACCTTTTTTTTTTTGGTCATTTTTTTACACCCCTAGTGTTTTAGCACAGTGCCTCACACACAGGAGGTGCCTGATAAATGCTTGGTTAATAATGACAGCACATTTTTCTGTGATACCTGCCAAGACCTCTACAATTATTATTCTCATTCGATCCTCACAACTCTGCCAGGTGGGTGCTCTTACCACCTCCATTTTACAGATGAGGAAATTGAGGCAAACAGGGTGACTTGCCCAGGGTCACACAGCTAGCAAGTGTCTGAGGCAGATTTGAACTTGGTTCTCCCTGACTTTGGGATCAGCCCTCTGTCTTGCCTCCCGTACCTTGTTGCCTGTTAACTACTGACTACTCAGGTCCCAGTACCCATAGAAGCCTGCCTGCAGTGGGAGGACTTGTCCCCACTGAGAGACCCTCCCCTCTGTCCCTGGCTGCCCGAGACAAAGGCCCAGCAGCCCTTTCTGTCCTCTTGGCCCCTTGTCAGAACTCCGTGCCTTCATCTGCTGCTGTCACTGAACTGTGTCTTTCATGGGTGTCCCCCTTCCCCCAGGCACAGCTTGAGTTTCTCAGACAGGAACGTCGTCCTCTTTGTATCTCTTGTCCTTGGCACATAGAAGGGCTTCTTTCATTCACTTCACCGTCTCCCTCCTCTACCCACCATCAGACTAAACTTTTGTAAGCTCTTCACTGAGCGCCCCTGTCTTCATTATTTCTCTATTGGAAGAGGCAAATGTAGGCTCGCTGTAAATATTTTCTAACACTTAGGGCTGTAGGCAAAGAAAATGGACTGTGATGGCTGTGACTGGTAGGTTCACTTGACTGGAGATTTCCAAAATTTCTACATACATTGTTGGGCAACAGGGGTCCTCTAGTCTCTTCCAACTCTTGAGAACTTGTGACTCTGTAAACCTTGATGAACACAGAAAGCATTTGTGGGTAACAACATCCAAAGAATTTATATTTTCCCTTGTTTTCTAGATGCTTCATTTCTCTTGATTTTATTTTTTACCTTGAGAATTTCTAGCTCCATTAACAAGCTGTCTTGTGATGTATTCTGCTTACGTCCTGCATTTACTTGGTAATTTAACTGCCTATTTAAGTGCTTTGATCAAGGGAAGAAAAGAGAAAATGAATGAACTGAAATTACTGTTCTTTACTTGTGAGTGGTTCTGGTCAGCAGTATTGTTAGGAAGAAGAATCAGTGAGTGTTAGCCTACAGTTCCTACCTTTAAGGAGTTTATGATATTTTTGTGAAGATCTAAGGCAAGGGAGTGAGAGCGTTATATTTGCACCAGAAAATATAAATTAATTCATGGAAACATGTTTAGGATGTTGTAATTAAAGGTGAGTCAATTGGAATCTGTGATATATAGTTTAATTGCCACTGGATGAAAATGGGGCTGGTAAGTAGCTCTATTCTAACATGTTTGTAGTCAGTAGGGCCTAGTAAGTGGAGAGATGGCCAGAGGACCTGGGTTCAAGCTGTACGCCCCTGTTGTAATGGATGAAATAAATGACAGTCTTTATAAAGAGGCCTGGGTTTGTTGTAAGCTGCCTTTATCTGCTCATTGCCCAGTCCCTTGCTGAATGGTTAACAGGACAGTGAGCGTTTTACCTCCCCAGGTAAGGGCGCCACCTTGTGGCACAATGGGGGACAGTTAGAGACGGCTGAGCAGGCCTTTGTTCAGATGCATCATTTCCACCACATTAGAATGTTCATTTCTGGTATGATTTTTTTCCTGTCCTATCTAACCTATCCTAAAAGGGCCAGCTATAAACTCCTTAAGAGAAGGGACCGCATCCTACACAGCTAGTTTCTCACAGAAGAGCTCTTTCAATGACTTACAACCTACAATATAGTCAGTAGTTGGAAAAGAAAAGCATTAAAACTACAACTTTCTGGGGGGTGGTGTGCTATAGTCTTATAACTTTATAAATTTCTACTAACTTTGCTGAAAATCTTACTAGGATGTGCTAAATTAACTTACCTAACTTAGTGCCTTAAAGAAAATCTCCTTCATCAAACATCAATAACCACTGAATACTAGAGATGTTAAATGAATATGGGATTGAATTAAAACCTGAAGATTATAGCAGATACACAGGACTTATTAATTTGTACAGTTCTCAGCTGTGGCTTAGCTCAGTGCTGATATTTAAATTTCTGATAATTATACTAAAATGAACTATTCTGTTTTTTGCTACTGGTTGCTGCCTGCATTTCTACAAATCCTGACTTAAAACAGTGTTGTATACAGGTATTTTGGTTTCTTCCCTAAAATGAGGCAAATATTTTTGGAAGCGTATATTAATTACAATTTAACATGTTACATCTTTATGCCTTTACTATCAAAACAAATTCCATGTAGAAATAAATATCAGATGAGTCTTCCTGACTCCAAGCCAGGCACTCTATCTACTGTGCCACTTATAAAGTAAAAAAAGAACTTATGTAATAGATTCATGATGGCATATAAAAATGTAGGCCCAATGACTTTGATTATACCTGTTGCTGATGAAACTCAGCACAAGGATAACTAAAAGTTTTATCCAGACTTCTTTTAATCACCACACAAATTCATGAAATTAACATTGCAAATTTTAATTTTCAAAATATTTCACATTAGCTAAAAGAGCAGACCCAAGTTAGTGTATTCTCGGTCGCTTGAATTTATTTATTTCTGTAGGAGTTTTTCTCTTCTGTGATAATCCTGTCCCAGTTTCCTTATTATTTTGGAGAAATGAGACTGCTTCAGGTAGAGAATAATTCTCTAACGATGGAGGAGATTCCTGTAAAACAAAAAATATTCTGTTTTCCCTCCCTAGCTCTCAAAATGCCACACAGTGATTTTCTGATTAGGAAGCATAAAAAAAGGGAAAGATACAAAATTTTTTAAACTCCAGGGAAAAACAGGTTCTTAAATTTTTAACAATGGAAAAGATACTCTGATCTTGGTGAGGGATATTATAAAACTAAATAGAAAAAGACCTCATCAGAAAGATGGAGATGTGTTAGCCCAAGGGTGGAGGCAATCATTCCGATGAGGTATGTATTATAGAAGAGGATATCACTAAGCACTAGAGAGCACGGATAATGCCTTTTTTGAGTAGTTAACTGCAGCAGAAAGCACTAAATCAAAAAACAGTCCCACCAACCTGCATCAGGTAATCTGCAATGTATTCTGGCTTCAAGCAGTTCACTTTCTGGGCAGCAGCTTCTGGTATGTTAACTCTGGTGTCGTCTGGTTTCAGCTTACTGAAGTCAGCAAAAAGGTGTGTGGCTTCTTTGAACAGAGACACAGAATGACCAGGCAGCACCTAGTAGTGAAACAAGCAGGATCACAGTCATTGACTGGGTCAGGGTAGATCAACTCCTGATCACCATCTCAGAAAGCATGAGAAAAAGGTTAATCTCATCCAAAAAAAAAATTCAAGTAAAAAATCTCGGTAAAGCGATTTGATACAATTTAGTTCATCTTGGATCAACAAACCTTTGCTCCTCCAGACTGAAGAAGACGTCGAAATCCTGCTTCTCTGGACTGATCGACATTCAAAATCACCTTCCACCCACTAAAAGCCCCCTACAACAAAAGAAAGGCAAGTGTTTAAATCAATTAGAAAGGAGAATCTTCTCCTTAACCTCAAAACCAGTGCTAGAAACTGACACTGATAATAAAAAAGCACTGTGACCCAGTGTCTTTTTAAGGCAAGAGGTAAATTTTTAAGGGCCTGAGGACCCTTCCCTGTTCTATTTTGGAACTTTCCTAACTATTGCTTAAGAGCTACATGGAACCATGTTCTGAAGGAAAAAATATAGAGGCAAACAATTATTTGGAGAAAATACAAAAATAAATACATTAAGAGGTTTTTCAAAAAGTTGGTTAGTTGAAAACTAAGGAAAGTTAGGTGGAATAAAAAAAAAAGTGGCCACACGCCAAAAGGAATTGTTTGGAGTGATGCAGATATCAACAGGAATTGCTGTCTTTTCACATTACTATCAATTATACTGATTTTATTTAATATTCTAAGAAGACCAAGAACTAAATATATGAAAATGTTCTGTACAAATTAAAAAAGGTGATAGGGAGCACTAGATGCCATGAATACAGAGGAAAATGTAATAATCCCCACCCTTCAGATGCTTAGATTCTACTAGGTTGATAGTATGTACATTATATATGCACATATACTATACACACATGTAGGTATACATATGTGAATAAACGGATATTACTTAATGTTTAACAAAATAAAAGTACAATGTAAAGTAATGTTAATTTGTGGTTTTTTAAGCCATCCTGCAGTCAGCAGTGATGAAGTTGCAAAGGTGCACCAACTTTGACAGAGGTAGCCTATACTGAGAAGATCCCAGGTCTACTAAGTGTATGAATACGTGCTTACGGTTTATTTGTACTAAACATAAATGCATGGACATATGCACACACAAATACATACCTCAACAATGCCCTCCTCTTGTTTTTTCTGAATCCTTTTCCTCCATCTCATTGCAGCAAGTGCTAGTTTCCTCTGCTGTACATTGATTCCAGTCAAAACATCAAGGATGGAACTACTTCCCCATTCATATTCTTCTTCCTAGAAAATGTTAGCCTCAGTAAAGACTCTTTCTGGCTTTTAATAAAATTGTAGCCGGAAATATCTGATTCAGAATCATCAAATAATAACCACCAGGATAAACAGCACTTTTTAAGACTTAAGAACTCAGCACTCATCGCTACCTCTTACTAACTTCTCACACGCCTAAGAGGGTTCTCCTCTTAACTACAAAAAAACAAAACCACCAGGAACCTTTCTTTTCTTTTCTTTCTTTTCTTTTCTTTTCTTTTCTTTTCTTTCTTTCTTTCTTTCCTTCCTTCCTTCCTTTCTTTCTTTCTTTCTTTCTTTCTGGCAACGGGGTGAAGTGACTTGCCCAAGATCACACAGGTAGTAAGTGTCAAGTGTCTGAGTTCAAATTTGAACTCAGGTCTTCCTGACTCCAGGGCCGGTGCTCTATCCTCTGCGCCACCTAGCTGCCTCCTTCCAGGAACCTTTCACAGCCCTATGCTGAAGATGAATTTAGAGGATAGACAAGGAAGTCCTAAATTCTTTATGATATAAGGCAGTTAATGTGAATAATACTTTGCAATCTGAGATTTTTAATTCTTCTAATGAAAGAGAAAGTTTTAAGCTCAATGTCCTACCATAAACCATATCAGTGAGAACTCAAGGCTGGCAAACAAAACATTCACTTTCTAAATATATGGAATACAAATTAATAAAAATCTGTTGTTATACTTTTTTTTTTTTTTAGGCAACTGGGGTTAAGTGACTTGCCCAGGATCACACAGCTAGTTAAGTGTCAACTGTTTGGTCTGAGGTCACATTTGAACTCAGGTCCTCCTGACTTCAGGGCCAGTGCTCTATCCACTGCGCCACCCAGCTGCCCCCTGTTGTTATACTATTAAGCTCTGTTGAATGTATGGAGAACAAAGATATGTTCAAATTCAAGTAATTAAAATTTAAAAAGGCATCTGGTTATTTGAACTCTTCCTATTACTTTGCTTTGCTAAGCTATTAACATTTTTAAACTTCTGGTGCCATGGGATGAGTTGTGATTCAGTGACTTTAGTGAGATGAGCTGTTAGTGTTCTCTTCAGTTCTCTCGTCCTTCTTCATTCTGGATAATGTTAACGTACCTGAAGACCAATAATGACCTTAAGAAAAACTATGACTACATACCTGGACAAAGCGTCCAGCTGCTCTGCAAGCCTCAAGGTAGGAGCGATGAAGTATCCACTTTCCAGCAGCCATTGAAGCCAAATACTTCTCATTCCGAAGAGGATGTCCCACAATGATGTGTGTACAGCTTGGATCAAAGCACTGTTTCTCTAGCACAAGGCCACCTAAAGGAGAGAGTAATTAGTTATACATTTAAAATGGATTCATTTCAAGGCAATTTTTCCTAACAAGAAAATTCTTATTGACTAGAAATCACCCCATATAAAAAAAATCTTATTTTATAAGCTTTTCACTATACAGACTAAACATAACAATGAAAATAGTGAAATAATCACCTGTGATAAAAGACAAATGTAGTCACTAATTGAAAAAGAACTTTTCAGTGTTAAAGAGAAAATTCTTAGAGAATATAAGTAAGCGAAGGTGAAGGAAACAAACCATTACATGGGCTTGAGAGAAGGTAAAGGGAGGAAAAAGCTGAAGCTATCATCATACATTGTTGCTTGTCCTTCATTTTCAAAGACAACGATATGGTGGGGTGAACACCAGAAAACAGTGGATGAGTGAACTGGATTTAAGGGAGGCAGAGCTGTGTGAAGCCGGCAGCCTCACTCTGGTGACAGTCATCTGAAGTCCTGTGGTAAGACCGAAGTCAAGATAGCTGCAGAGGGCCCAGGATGCAGCGGGTGACCTTGGTGTTTTTCAATGTCTCACCAAGGTCTAAGTGCTCCACAGTTTCTGCTCCAGTCATCCCCCTAACTCACCCTCAACCTGTTTCAGCCTGTCTGTCAAGACAGGCTCACCAGGATGTAGCCACTGCGTACGCTACAGCTTCTTGGAGCCACGGGCGAGAGCTGGGTGATGGGTAAATACCACAAGGTGGATGAACAGCCTGAAAAAGGCTGGCAAGCCCTCACACAAGAGGGGCTAGACCTCCTTGAGCACCCATATATCACATACACCTACATGTCAAAGGAAGGACAAAAATTTAGGTGTGGTTGCAAAAGAAGGAAAAATGAAAGCTCCAACTTAAACCATTTCTTTTAGGCTTTATGTGTTAATATGCTTAATGGTCAGTCCTCAGGTTGTATTGTTTAACCTTAAAGATATCAGACCAATCATTCAAAGCTTATGATTTAAACATAATAATAATAGTTAACATTTATATAGCACTACTATGTGCTAAGCACTTTACAATTATAACCTCATCTGATCCTCATTCACTCTGGGAGTTAGGTGCTCTCATTATCCCCATTTTACAGATGAGGAAATTGAGGCAGGGCTTAAGTGATTTGCCCCAAATCACAGTAAGCTTCTGAAGCTGGTCTTCCAGACATACCAGCTCAGATACCAATATGAATATGGTATACTTTCTTTTGTTATATCTCACTCAATAGAGCATACATCAAACACTATTTAAGTGGAATCATAGTGTTAGATCTTGAAAAGGCCTTAAAGATCATCTGGTTACAAATGAGTAAACTGAAGGTCAGAGACATGACTTGGCCATGCATCACAAAACTAAGGACAGACCTAAGACTCAAACCTAGGTCTTCAAAATCCCAATCCAACATTCCTTCCACCACAAAGTCTTCTCCTGGGAATACAATAAAATCTCTGGTCTTTAGAAGATGCTGTCCTTTTGGTAAAGTACTTATTCATTCACTAAGACTAATTTCATTTTCTTCAAATACTATTTTCCAAATTGGGGAGGGAAGGTTGAAGAAGGACATAAGATGGAAAAAATACTTTCTCACAGCTGATATTTGGACTATTTGGGCCTACAAAATGCTATGAATTTGGTCAGATCAGAAAAGAGAAATCTGTGTGGAGATCAGAGATTTAGAAGGTTAGCAAACTACCAAGCACCTCAGCTTCTCTCTATTCCAAAGACGCTTGCGGACTGTGTCAGATCTGCTGACTGTACTTTACAATGTTTTCAAATATGGGAAAGCTTCAAAATGTATGGTTTTGAACAGTGGCATCAAGGTCAAATAGAAATCGATCCCTGGAAGCCCATATTGACCTAGAAAACCACAAGTTAACATTATTTATGTTGTATTTTTATGTCTCTTGTTAAACATTTTCTAATTACATTTAATCTGGCTTGAGCTACACTAGAGAGTTTTGCTGCCTGACACCTCTGGTTTTGAGTATTTCAAGTGTCTCGACAATTCAACAAATTAGGGAGAACTTCAGACGAAACAAGAGCAGCAATCCTGAAGTGTTCTCTACTGGAAATACTTTAGGGTTGCTCTATTTGAAGGCAGCTCTAGAATTTTTTCCCTGTGATATAACAGCTTTCACCCTCTTGTACATCATGGTCTTGGAAACAGGAAACATTAGTTTTGTATGTTGTCCATTATTCTTCCTACTGCTTGCAAATACAGTGTGCATTTAACATAGTATATGCTTTCTGTACAGTGGAGCAACAAACTTGCAAAAAATTAGGTAATTCTGAGGCATAGTAGTCACAACCCAGTTTTTTGGCATTACTGAGCACTATAATCCAATAGACCTATGATTTCCTCAATGTGATTCTATCCTCCAAGGAAACAGTATAAACCATCTTTGTCTGTCCATCCTGTAACTATTGTTTATGTCCTTTAATAAATCCATTACAGGAGGCCAACCCAACAAGCTGGAGACATTCCTTGAATCCCAGTGGAGCCTGTGGCTGTCCCTCACTCTTGCTACAAAACTGGCCCACCCTTTTTTCTGATATCCTTTAAACCACTTCTGATTCATTCTTTGTTTGTAATGTGTCTGCAGGCTCTATGAAGTTTTTCAATTGCCCTTTGGGTGATCCTCAACTTCAGTTCTTCATAGACTGTGGAATTCCAGGACTCGGCCATCTAGCATCACAGAACAAACTACTTTTAGAAATGGGCCTTTGTTTCAGGGAGAAGCTTGAGGTCATTAAAATAGTTTTGCTGTTTGCCAGAGACAATCCAGTCTACTCACCTCCTGTTCCATTCTGGACCACTGATTGTCCACTCACAGTGTGTGTCCGAGATGTATGTACTGACAGAACAGTTCTTCAGGTTATCTGCCCAAATGTGTAACAGTCATTCCTTAAGCACTTGGTTTTTCCTATGTGATTACTTGGTCCTAAGTCTTCTGAATGATCTAAGGTTTGATATAATTAGCTTGTCATTTACAAATGTGAGCATCTGGACCTATAGAGAATTCCTCTAATTTGGACTGTGTATTTGGACCTCTTCCATGATAGTGACAGACATCTTTAGTAAGCATCAATCTCCGTTTTATGCCTTATAATCAGAGGATAAATCTTCCAAGGAATCCTGTATGATTCTGACATTGATGGGCGATCCTTTATTAGAGGAAAATATTTCAGGTGGCATTTTGTTCTACCAAATGAAATCCTTTTTTACAATCAATACTCAGCACAGAGGGATCTTTTATTCTCTATCAGTCAATTCTGTGATGGTAAAGATGTATTTTTTGGTAGAACACTGCTTGTTCTCTTCTGATACTGTCATCAAGGACATAGCATTTCTGTACAGATAAGGAGGTAGACGGGTTCGTATGCATCCTCCTTTCAGTATTAACAAGGTTGGAGATTTTTTTCCAAGTTGCTGCTACAGCCCTACTTCACGTCCCTTGAGAAACGACTCTTTAGTGCCTCATACATGGCAGCCCTCTTCTCTATTTTTGGTGCAGCTCCCATATTTTTTTTCCTTTCAGAGTTATTTCTCTGAGACAGTAGGACATCTGAGACAAAGGTCCCTCCAGGTATCAAACTATGATCCAAAACTGGTCATGTGCCTGGACACAAACGTGACTCCCATACCAATTATGAAGCATAAGATCATAAATTTAGTGCCAGAAGATCACTTAAGAGGCCATCTAGTCCAATATCTCTCATTTTGCAAGCCCAGAAGGGTTAAGTGACTTTTCCATGATAGTAAGTGACAGAAGTGGGATTATCTTGTCCATAAGAATGCAACCAGGCTCATTTTTTGTAATGTTAGTCAGCACTCATCAGATGTGGCACTTCCTAATGCTTTTCAGGATGTACATATATGAGACTTCTACAGAAGTCTACATGCCTTTTGCTTACCCCTAATTTCTGAATATTTTCAAACATCCCCCCCCCACCATTTTCTCCTCTACCCACCTGAAATGATGACAATGAATATGAATACATAAATTCATTTAACTGGAGCATCTTAACAAGCTCTTTGTAGAATTATCTATTTCCTTATCTTCTAATTGGTATTGATGCAATTATTTTTGTGGCAGTTTTTTTTGGGGGGGGCAAGGGGGAGAATGCAAATACTTATCATGAACACTAAAATTTAAGATGATTAAATATCCCATGAAATGTTTCTTGCTGCCTTTGGATGCACAATAAAACCAAGTCAGCCAATTCCTTTATTTGAATCTCCAAGGAGAACCTGTGAATTTACTCCATTTACTGTAATTCCTTTTGTCTTTGGTTTCATTTACAGAAAGAATGACAACATTCAGTTCTTCATGGAGCATGTCTTCTGGATAAAGACCTCACATTTAGAGTGCCAAAAGCTGGGTTCAAAAAGTTAAAAAAGATGGGTTCAGAATAGTGATTTTTAATGTTCTGTGCCACCACTCTGCCACCATGACTACAGAAGCAGAAAAGATCTGCACAAGATTGAGGGATATTGTCTTTTTTCTTTTTTTTAGTTTTGTGGGTTGCCATGGCCAAAGAATTCATTGCTAGCATACTGGGTATGAGTCTTTTCTTCTTTAACAAGGTAGCTCCTTAGAAATCACACAATCCTGTTACCAGAACTGCACCTAAAGACTTTTCAACATGGATTCTTGCATCCAGAGAAAGAACACACGGTGCCCCCCCCCCCCCGATGCTAGCCATCTCAGAGCGGGTAAATTACAACAATTTTTGGTGACTTTGCCAGTGGAACACAAACTCTACCATGCTGTAACTTTATTGTGGATTTAAAAGGAATTAAATAAGAAAAAAAATGCCAAAACCTTTTGGCTTTAAACACTTTTGGTAGGAATCTTCCTAAAATGCACTACAGATTTCCCTACTTATTTCAAAGTGGGATATGGAACAGAGTTTAACTTTTTTATGACTTGAAACTCAACTTGGCACTCACCACTTCAAGACAATCCTTTTATTCCTGTCCCTTAACTGATTCTCTATGCCACTTTCCCCAGAGGTTGTTTCGAACTTGTTTTCTTTAAGTCTTGCGCACCATTCCGTCCCCCAGCTGAAAGCCCCTTGATACTGTCCTTCATTCTTTCTTCCTTTACTCCTGTCTCTGATGAACAGATGAGCCTTCGTGTCACAGCCAATCCTTCTGTGTCTACCAATGGTCCTGTATCCTTTCCTTCCCATTTTAACCAGCAGATTGCACACATTCATTCCCCTTTCCATTTTAATCTGCAGTCTCTCCCTCTTGACTCGTTCCTTTCCTACTGCCTACAGACAAACCTGAGTCCTCCTTATCTCTTTAAGCTGTCACACTATCTCTATCATCCTTTTCCCTGCCAACTCCTAGAAAAAGCTATCTACTCCAGTAGCCTCTATTTCTCTTCTCATCCATTTGCAATCTGACTCTCAACCTTATCACGCAATCAAGACTGCTCTCTCCAAAGTTACTGATATGAACTGCCTGATCTTTAGCTTTTTTAACATCACATCCTCCATGAACTCCCAGTAGCACTCGATGTCACTTCCTCTCTCCTGGATATTCTGTCTTGTGCTGCTGCTCTCTCTTGGTTGTCTTGAGAGCTCAGCAGCCTCCTTTAATCAGCTGATGCCCCGTCACTGTGGGTGTACTCTTAATGTTTTGGCCTGAGCCTTTTTCTCTTCACTTTCCATATATTCTTACTTGTGTTTAATTACACCACCACTATGCAAATCCTTCCCAAATCTATACACCAAGTCTTAGTTTCTCTCCCGAGTCACATACTTCTCACTGCCTCCTGATTATTTCAAAAAAGATGTCTGAGCAGCCATCTCAATCTCAGCAGTTCAAAATAACTCATAATCCTCCCTACCTAAGCTACTCCACCTGTGAATTTACATATTTCTGTTCAGGATAACACTATCCTTCCAATCACCCAGGGTAGTCTTACCTACACTGCTGGTGTTATCCTCTGACTTCTCCCTATCCATCACCCCTCATATCCAATACTTTGCCAGATCTCGTTATTTCTACCTTCACAACATTTTTTACTAACCATCCTTTCCCTTTCTTCTTTACTCACATAGCCACCACCCTAGTTTGGCCCTTATCACCTCTGGCCCTTCCCTGCCTCTCTTCTTCTAAAGTGAACATCTGACCATGTCACTCCTACTCAAAGGCTCCAACCTTTCCTTCAAATATGACCTCTTCTGGCTTTTAAATTCCTTTACAACTAGCCTGCAACCTGCCTTTTCTACCTCACTTTACATTATTTCCCTTCCTACATTGTACAATCCAGCCAAACTGGCCTTCTTGCTGGTCCTTATGTGACCTTTAATCTCCCACCTCTGTATTTTCACAATGGCTGTTCCCCATCCTCTTAACTACAGTCCTACGACTTCACCTTTGCCTCTTGGAATTACTCGTTTCCTTCAAAATCCTATTTAAACACCATCTCCTCCATGAAGTCTTTCTTCATTGCCCATTAGACACTACAGCCCTCCCATTTTTTTTAAAACTTTATGTAAATACATTTGAATGTAACCTCCTGGAAGGCAAGTGCCATTTGATCTTTGTCACTGTACCCTAGAGCCTAGCACGGTGCCTGGCACGTAGTGAGCACTTAACAAAAGCTTCCTGAACGACTCACTCCAGACTGTCACTCTAGACACCATTACTCTAATTCGCAGTTTGCCTCATTGCCTGCTGGTAAGTTTTCAGCTCCTCCCTCAAAAATCAGACTGTCAGCTTTTGCTGTTTCTCTAGTATCACTACCTCCTCCCCCCACTCATTCTACTTTGCAGTTTCTAAACTGATGTGGCCTGGGAGACCTGATGACTAAGCCTGTTCAAGAATTATGTTAAAAACAGTCAAAGTCTAAAGCTTTACTACCGGGACTTTGAAGCTGTTATTTCAAGTTCTCTAGAAAGCTGAGGTTGCTAAGTGGCTATTATTGTAAAATTAAATTAATTAAAAGGTTACTCTACTTCTAGTGAAAGTCTACTTCAACCTCAGTTTTATGCAAGAGTTAAAAACAAGGAACATCCACCAAACACATGAGGTCCGAAAATCTTAAATGTAAACCTTGATAGATTAAATTATTAGTACTTTAACATCATGACCCAGTGGACTAGTTAAATAGATTCTGGTCCTAGCTATGATGTTGACTATATGACATACAGCAAGTTTATTATCACATCCATCCCAGTTTTTCTGGCTAAAAAAGGTTAGCAACATTTAACTACCTAACAAAGCTACTATGTAGGCTTTTACGGTTTAACGAAAAGTATTGTTACCTAATTCCTCAATTAGATGACAATAATCAATTCGCTCCTGAGGATTAAGAGAAGATAGTTGAAATCGGTACTGTTTTTCTAATTCTTCATGTGTCTCCTCTGCCTGTACTGTCTGGAATGAAACAGAATTTCAGATTTAGAAAATATTCACATTTTAAGTATATGTACATTTAGCACATTTCTTTAAAAATGACCGACAGCTTACTCAGTATTTAAAACAAACCACATTATTATACTGGAAACATATTTTTTAGCTTTACCTTTTCTTTGGGGTGAGGAGCAACAGGTGGGTTGGCTAGGGGGAAAGCAATGCTAGGGGCTTGTGGCGTAGGGATGAGATGACTGTCTTTCATCGTACTTTCCAGGTCTTCACAAATGGGCTGTTTTGGTACCTCAGTTACACACACACGTCTAGGATCACAGACAGCTGAGGGGAAATAAAATGCAGCAGCTGGATATTTTAATACAACTAGAAATACACATTCTGAAAAATATATTCAATTTAATACTATGGGGAGCTAAAAATACACGCAAAAGATGTTGTTGCCTTGTCTCAGGGATCAAAAAAAACTGTCCATTTTAAAGGGACATGGTTTCTTTTTTTCTATAAATCTCTTTCATTGTTGTAGAATAATTCCAGTCTGAAAAAAGGGAAAGGAATTTGCACTGAGAACATTAGTATTAAAGAAAAATACTACATATGATATAAAAAAGCATTACAGGAGGAAAATATAAAGCAAAGCTCTTCAGTTAAAGAAACAAACTGAAATCAAGATGATAAAAAAGTAGAGATGACATGAAGAATGTAAAGAGGGTGTTGAGAGATGAATCAATTTGTTTTCATCAATGTAGGAAGTAGAGAATCACCAAGGACTAGGTATCCATCAGACACCAATTTTGGGAGGGAGGATAATTGTGCTTGGGATGTTCTGGGGCTTTAGTAATGACTCAAAACTGAATCTGCATTTGGATATGGTAGCTTCAGGTGGTAACAGCACTTTAATTTTGTCTCTATTGTCAGGATTGTTCTCCAGTTCAGTTTGCCTGAGATTTAGATGAGGCTTTCTGCTCAAGACTCCAGAAATTTATGAATATGTATTTCTTACATGTTATTTGTCAAAAATAAAACCCCTTATTGAAGCAGCTTAACTGGAGCAACACTAAATAATGGCTATCTCCAAATATGATATTTTAGAGCAATTTCAAAAGATAAAAAACCATATTATAATTAGGGATCTTTGTAGCTAATTTTAAACTTTTATATTGTAACAGATAAAAAGAAGCTTAAGTAAAATAAGAATATCAGACAAGGGCATATAATATTGAGAGGAAAGGCAAGGACAAAGATCAAATCAACAAAATGAACTATCATTCTTATGAAATATCTCAAATTTATGAATTATTTCTAAGCTTAAAGCTGCAGAATAAACATAAAAGGCTTTTCATTTCCTTTTAAATTCCATATTACTACCATAAACTGATTTTTTTTGTTTTCTCTAGTGTCTTTTTTTTTTTTTAAGAATTAATTTATTTTTAGTTTTTCAACATTCACTTCCATAAGATTTGGAGTTTTAAATTTTCTCCCTCTCCTTTTTCTCCCCCCTCCCCAAGATGGTGTGCAATCTGATATAGGCTCTACTTATACATTCACATTAAGCATATTTTCCCATTAGTCATGACTATCTGATATTTTTAATAAGCAGAAACCACCCTCATTAAACTAATTAATATATTTCTCTTTCACTACCATGTTCAGCAATTGCAGAATCATGCAAAGATTCCTGGAAGGGCGAGTCTTCCAAATTCTTTACGTTAGTTTGAAGCTCAGAATATTGTGTAGGACAGATGGGCCACTGTAGGTTGCTGGCCAGCCTCGCTCTCTCCTCCCGTGCTGTAGGGTCATCCCAAATGATCTGTTCACTCTGGGAGGGCTCTGTGTTGATATCAGCAAGAGCTTGACGAGACTGCCTAAGGAACACATGGAGAAGGTGATGTTCAAACTACCTTTGTGATAGAGAAACCCATCTTGTCAAAATTCCTAATTCTCATGAAGATTAGCTCCTGTTGGAATTTTATTTCCTGAACTTGTTCTATTCAAATAACAGTATTAAACAAAATTTGTTCCAGTGTCTTAGGAAGAGCTAGTATATGCCCTATAAGTAATTTATTTTTAAAAAAAGCATTTTACTGAGTGTTTAGACTTTACATGACTGACAGGTTTCTTTGTCTTTGGGGAGGGAGGGGGGAAGAGAAGGAGCACCTCTTTCCTTGGTGCACCTCCCCTGCTCCCTTCTCTTGTGACCAAAACACAAAACCCCAAACAATGAAGAAAAAAACCTGTCAGTTATATTGAAATCTGATCACGTCTATAATACTATCTGTCCTAGAAGTGCCCCACAGGTAATTTTTTAGTAAACTGCAGTAGTTACTCTACCAATAATGTTGTGCATTCAGATTACCGGTATAAATTATCTGAACAATAACAATTTAATCCAAGCATTTATGTATTTATTTATTGCTTTTTGGTGAGGCAATCGGGGTTAAATGACTTGCCCAGGGTCACATAGCTAGTACGTGTCAAGTGTTTGGTCCGAGGCTGGATTTGAACTCAGGTCCTCCCGACTCCAGGGCTGGTGCTCTATCCACTGTGTCACCTAGCTGTCCCCCAAGCATTTATTAAGTACCTAGGTGTCAAGGACTGTGCTAGGTACCAGGGACACAGACAAAAAAAGAAATCATTTTTTTCCCTCAAGGAGTTTACGTTCTAGCAAATGAAAAAAACACGTACATGGATAAGTAAAGACAAAATACATTTACTTTTAGGCAGAGGGAAGAGAATAGAAGAGGCTACACTGATAACAACTGGGGAATGAGAAAAGGTCTCTTTCAGGAAGTGGTATTTGAGCAGAACCTTGAGGAGAGCCAGAGAAGAGCATTTCAGGCATGGGGGTAAACTGTCAAAACCAGGCCAGTCTGCGTGGTACACAGAATGGGTGAGGGAGAGCAACACTTATCTTAATGCCATCTGGAGCATCCCACAATGAGAATACTTTATAAATCAAATTGTTACAGGGAATAGCTAAAGCTCCTTGAGGATCCAAGATAGGTTATTCACAACAAAATATACTCTATGGTATTAGAAAGTGGTTTTATTCCTATCTATACCAAAGGTATATTTCCTCTTTAGCTGTTGCACAGTAAGCATAATTTTCTCTAACTACATCTATAGGGTCCTAGATTAAGAAAACTACCATCCATTTACTATGAGTCCTGAAAGTTTTAGTTTTCCTCACAGGCACAGGAATGCTGAGAAGCTATTCATTCTGACTCACCCCACCAGAATAATTATTGAATGGCATTAGAATTAATTTTTAAACAGGACTCGTTCTATTTAGTTTAGCTATCATTATTTAGTCCCTGACATGCCAATCATGATAAGACACTGATAATGCTGACTAGAGTAAATTTTAAAAAATTTCTAAATAATATAACGTTGAACACTAATAATAGTAAATATATATAGTGTTTTAAGTTTTTTGTGTTTAAATGTCTCAAAGTTCTATGATGCTTGCCGCTCTTAATATGCATTATTATCTTATTCTGCCATCAGAACAATCCATTGAAGTAGGTACCATTTTTTACAGATGAAATGGAGGTGAGATGACTTGCCCAGTGTCACACAGATAGTGTCTGAGGCAGTATTCTAACTCAGGTCTTTGCAACTCCGACTCCAACTATTTACTACACCATGCTGCCTCCTTAAAGGTGCTAACACATAAAACAGATGGGGGAAAAAAAAACCAACCAGTGTCTGGGTCTCCTCTGTCCCTTCCCCCCTGGACCTCCCCTCATGAGCCAGATACCGTAATGCTTCCAGGACTCGACTGCGGCCACTGCGTGCAGACCAAGCGTTGTCAGGAGTTGAAGAAGAGCTGTCGCAACCACTTCTGGAAAGGGAATTCCTTTGTCCTTGGAGTTTTACTACTGATGTGGCAGACATTATTTCCTGCAGCTGCTTTTGGAAGCTCTTCCTCATTTCCAGGGTCTGTGTTAGAGCTTGGAATAACAACAGAATCGCCATCTAAGGTTCATGTTTTATTTCCTTTTTTCTTTTTCTCAAATGGGGTTTGGAATGCATTTCCATTCAGGCTCTGGCTAAGCACAAATTCATTTATTCAGCATTTCATCAGCATCCACCTCATAGTATCATAGAATTAAGCCTGGATGAAACCAGGAAGATCATTCTTTTAGCCCCTTCATTTACAGATGCAGAAGCCTGTTCAATGACTGGCTCCACATCACACCAGATTCCAAACCAGGAATGCTCATTTCACTACCATATGGCATTAAGTGCTGGGATAACAAAAGCAGCAGAAACTCTTGCCTTTTGGGGTCTTTACATCCATTGAAAGCACATATAACACATGTGTAATAATCACAACACATAATAAGGTATAGGGATCACTCCCCTTCCTTTGAAATCTCATTCCATTTCTCTCTTCTCTGTTAAATAGGGACATTTCATCCCCCCAGTTCTGTGAAGACAAGAATAATGCTACCTCTAGCACCCAGCATGGCAGCTACTCTATTAAGAATTGTGGGACGGTGTGATGAGAGGATGGATAAATGATAGGTTAGTCCAAAGTAAAGACTGAGGTAACCCAATAATAAGTAGGTGTTAGCCTATTTAAGCCAGGTCATCAACAGTAGGGATCATTATGGATTTAGAGCTGGCAAAGGACTCAAGGTCAACTCATCAAACCCCCTCATCTTCTAACGGGGGAATCTGAGGCTCCAAGAGGTGATGTAACCTGGCCAAACAAGTGGCACAGCCAGGACTTGAACCCATGGCTTCTGACTCTAAATCTAGCATTTTTTCCATTTCTTTTTTCCCCCACTGAATGGACATTTTATTTAATTTTTGTACGTCCCTCAACACTTAAAATTTTTTTTTTTCAATCTGGGCAGGCCCATAGGTAGGTCTAATCTAATCTGTAGGACTAATACAGTACCATGAGGAATGACGCACCTAAAAATGTTTCTTTTTCAAAGTAACTCAAATTTTTAAAAAGAACTTTAAGTTTTGTCTTAAAGTCCTTTCCTCAAAACAACCCTGTGAGGTAGGTAGTACAAAGAGTATTAGCCTCATTCTACAGATGAAGAAACAGGCACTGAGAAGTTAAGTGACTTGACGGTGGAAATAAAGTTAGTTCCTTACAGTGGCATTTGAACCTCAGTACCTTGACTCCAGTACAGCACTGAATCTAATACTCAAACTGTGTCCTCGGTACACATTTGGCCAAAGGTCTGCAGATATATTTGGCAATATGGAGAAAAGATGGCCATTAGGTATTCGTGGAAAGAAGGCACTTTGTATTAAACATTTATATCATCTTTACATTGCTCTAATACTTCAAGGATTTCTGCTTTTCTCTGAGTATTCCCTTCAACAACATAGATCATGGACAGTCTTTTAAAAGTTACTGTGGCCAAAAAATTCATTATCTGGCAGACATCCTGGTAATTCTTTACATAAAAACAAAATAAAAAAGGTGTCTTTGTAAACTTACTTAGCTTTAGGCTATGACTATAGTTGGGAAACATGAAAATTTTACCTCCTTTGGGAATATTTGGTATTTCTCCATTTGTACTTGCCACTTCCTTCTGATCAATGGTCATATCTTCATTGTTTCCTTCCAAAGATAAATGGAGAAGAGGCTATTGGGGGAAAAAATACAATTTCTCAAAAGGGACCATTATTACATATATATATATATATATATCTATATTATATATATATACACACACACACACACACACACACACACACACACACACACACACACACACACTACATTATACATTCATCTTAGGTGTTAAATGTGTAGTCTACATTAAATACCTCATCATCATCTTTTGCCATTTTACTAGTTGATGGTGACCGACTGGTACAAAATCTGCTGTCTGGCACTGCACTTATATCCAGGCTCATTTTTGGATTGTAAGTATGTGGATAAAGAGATTCAGGAAGACGCCTGTATTCTTGGGCACTCTGCAATACAAACACAATCCTAACAATGCTGAAAAATTATATCAGACCCACAATGTTATAGAAGATACGGATAATCTAAATACTTCGTGTCTAAAATTAGAACAAAAAACTTCTACAAGCCTATAGTCTTGAAAGCTTACATGAAAATGTCTCCATGATGAAAGTAAATTTAACTGTTCTTCCTTTTTAAAAGGAAAAGTATACACTTAAGTACTAAATCTAATTCCAATGCTATGTTACTGTCACTGACACGGGAGTGCTTCTCTATATCAAACTAATATGCTGAACCAATTCTCAACAAACTACTAGAGAACAAATTTTTTCATCTGTGCCTCTTTTAATTTGTGAGAAGAACCTCAGGTAAAAGGGAATCTACCACTGAAGAACTAAATATTTAAGAAATAAGATTTAAGCTTATGACTCCATTAAATGAAAGAATAAAATGATTAATAATAATTAATATGCTCATTAAGCATCTACTCTGTGCCAAGCACTGTGCTATAATGCTAGATGAGCTTCAAAACTTAGATAAGAACATGGTTCCTGCTTTCACAGAGTTTATAGTCCACCATAAATACTATGATATATATTGCTATAATATGAACTATAGAATGAAATGCAGAGAATATGAGATCAGGCAAGAAAACTATGGCAGTGTCAGACTGTTGGGACATTAAATGTAAGCAGAACAGCATGTATTTAATCTCAGAGATGCTCAGAGTTGGAGAAGTCAAATTCCAATGAATCATTCCCCCTACAATACTGCCCTCTGTTTTCCCCTCAGTAGTTTCTTGAGAGCAAGAACTGTTTTTTGCCTTTCTTTGGTTCTCCAGCACAGTATGTGGCACACAGCAGGCACTTAACAAATGGCCGTAACTTGATGAATGACAGGGAGGACTCTTTACTTCCTTAGGCAGCCCAACTGACTTCTGGAGAGCCCTAATTGTTAGAAAGCTTTCTTATTACATTGAAGCTTAAATTTGCCTCTTTGAAACATCTACCCTTTGCTTGGAAGAAAATGGGGAACTCCTGATTTTCGTGCACAGAAGATGAATTTATGAATGAAAAAAAAAAAAAGGATGGACTTAAAAATCAGGAAAACTTGTGAAGAGTTTACTACCACACCTCAGGTGGGTGGTCAAGTCTGTAGTGGAGTGGTGGCAATAAGAATCAAAAAGGTGTGAGATGTTGTAGGTGGAGGATGTGCCTGTTTAGGGAAGGGAAGGCAAAGCAAGAGAAGAGTCAAAGAGAACACCAAAGTTACAGACAAGGGACATTGGATGGTCAGTGGCAGCAGGATTAGGGAGAAAGATAAGCTTTCTAGGGGACCAGAGTTTTATAATGTCAAAGAATTGCTCATGATAATCATAAAAGCTTATCATCAAACACATTTATATTTAATTGAAGTTTGCTGTTACTTTGGAACAAGTTTTGTTTATATTTTCATTTAACAGAAAGGGAGAAAAATGTTACCTACTTCTAAAAGCCAGTGCTCTGAAACAATGTGAATTCCTCTTTCTTTAACAGCCTTATATTCTCGATTAGTGTCATTTTGTCGCCCTTGATAGATGAAATGAGTCACAGTTTCATCAAAACTCCATCTATGATACAGGCAAATGAAATATAACTAAAAGAAGATACATAAATCAGTTTAATACCATTGCTGCTTGGAATAAGAATGCTTTTACATTCCAGAAACAAAGAAAATTTAACAACTATATAAAAAAAGTCTCTAAACAACTTAAGTGAATTGACTGCTATTCCCTTTTAACTTCTGACTTGAAGAAAAATCCTTGAAAAGTGTGGCAGGTCTACTTATAAAAGTTCAAATATATCAAAGAAAAAAGAGGGGAACGTTTAAAATTATTGAAAACAAGAAAATTTTTTCCATCACGGATGCCTAATAATAATATTTTCCTTCATTTCCTTTAGGTTTACCTAACAAGGGAACATCCATTAAGTAGCCATTTTTTCCTTAAAAGTTACAGGATTCTCCCTGTAACTTCCATTATAAGTTATCTGCATATTGCATATCAAGATGAAAACACAAATTTAAATTGTTCACACGAGTCACCAAAACAAAAGAATACAATTTGTGTTCTGTAATTGTCTGGAAAATTCACCTCAATTCCTTACCCTACCATTGCAAAAAGAAGGCTGTAGAATCTCTGTTTTAAAGTAGAGATTACTTTCTCAAACATGTCAAACTGTCTCATATGCCTAGAATTCACTCCTTCCTTACCTCTACTTCCTAGAGTCCCTCTCTTCCTTTTGGAAACAGTTCACTCGTCATCTTCTTTATGAAACCCTTTCCTGTTTCCCCAACTACTAATGTTCTCACTTCCAAACTACCTTGAATTTAACTACTTTGTATATATTCATATTTATTAACTTTATATTTATGTTATATATGTTTTAATATATAACTCTTGTCTCCTCCACTAGAACCTAAGCCTCTTGCAAGTAGAAAGTAGAAAGCCCAGTAGCACATTTCAGATACTTAATAAACACCTGTAGATTTGACTGACTGGTTCAAACATTTCCTTGCCTCAAGGCAAGGGTCTGGAGCAGATCATCTCTTACAGCCTCTTCAAATCTATGCTTCTAAATCATAAAATACTACAGAATGTTGGATAGGCAGAGATAGATACGGAAACAATTCTAACTCTTTAAGTGAGTAAACTGCCTATTTTGGGAACTCATAACCAACTTCCATGAAAGGCCCTTTGTCCATATTTCTGTTTAGATATTTTTCTAAGGCTAAGAAAAAACATTATATTAAGTATGACAAAAGCTACCTCAGGAAAACAGGGGACCAAGATGGTACAGTAGAAGGAAATTAAACAAGACTATAACTAAACAACTCATCCATTTGATGATCAGGAAATAAGATATAGATCCTTTTAGGGATGAAAGTGAAAGGCTTCAGACTCAACATAAAAGTGAAAGAAAAGCTATTCCTCACTGGTCTCAGCAGGAAGAAATTCTTCAACTGAAACCAACAGACTTCCAGGCTAAAATTAAAACAAACAAAACCCTCAAAACTCAAGCACTAAGAAAAAAAATCCATGTTGGTATAGGGGAAAAAAACCTCCAAAAACCAAACTACTGTTTTTGCTGATAATTAAAAAAGAAAGATTATGAAAGAAAAGGACCTCACTTCTTTCCTCCTCCCAGAAAAGACCTCCATTAGGCCTTTCCCATCAGAGAGGAGGGCATTCTTGGCTTTGACTGAAGATTAAAGAAAAGGCTTCTCTTCTTTCTCCTCATAAAAAGGAAAGGATTTCAACTAAAGCTGATGACAGTAGACGAGTATGTATGGGGAAGGAAAAGGCCTAAAAGACCATAAGGAAAGGAAAAGTCCTCAACTTCATTAACCCTCAGAGTACGGGACACCTAAAATTGAAATCCTAAGGCATGATAAGCACAAAAACAAGTAAAGAAAAAAAGGATTTTCATAAAGCCAGATGAAGGATTAAATTTGTGTATGACTATACCAGAATGCAGTCATAAAGGAAAATAATTTGTGTTGACCCACAGGGCTGCAAAACAGAAAAAGGAGGCAAAAGAGTTGCTGATAAACTGCAAGACTTTGTATAGAACTCTGGACATTCTCAAAAACAGAGTGTCTTCAGGATAAGAAAAGGACTTAAGTTGCAATTATGTCAACTGGGAAAAAATGTTTGGTAAAGAGAAAAAGCTATAGTTGTTTGAGCAAGGGTATGAAAACTGGGGCAATTTAGGGGAAATTTAGTAGTCTCTTGCAGGCTGCCTATGCATGTACATTCAGAGGATTCTTACGACAAAATTCCTTAATAAAACTTTTATCTTTTCTCCTCACTTTATTATTCCCATTAAATCTCCCCTTTCTCAAATTTTCCTATTTCTGTTGAAGGCACCAACAATTCAATTTTTTGACCCATCACAGAGATGACCAAAACATAAACCTGGACGAGGATAATAACTCAAAAATACCCATAATCAAAACCTCAAAGAAAAGGAAAAAAAACCAAAACAGTGTACTCACAAGAACAATTTAAATTTTTGGAGAATTGATGAAGGAATTTGATAAAAAATATAAAAGAAATGAAAGCTATGGAAGAAAGAACTGGTAAAGGATCAACAGCCTAATAGAAGAGTTAGTATAAAACCTTATCCTAGTGATAAATTCCCTAAAAATCAGAATAGTCCAAATGGAAATTAATGACTTCAGGAGACAAGAATTGTTAAACCAAGTCAAAAGAATGAGGAAACAGAAGGAAACTTAAGATTTCTCATATCAAAAACAATTGATCTGCAAAGATTAAGGAGAACTTAAGAATCATAATAGTACCCAAATCCTATGACAAAACTGCTCAGAAATATTAAAACAAGGGGGCAATGTAAAAAGGGAAAAAATCCAGTAAATCTCCTGAAAGAAACCTCAAAATGAAAATTCCCCAGAATGTCACTGCCAAAATCTTAAATTTCCAATGAGATGCTAGGGAAGTAGAAATAAGAACTGGCAGCTCACTGGATAGTGGGGTGAAGAACGAGAAGTCCTGGATAATACTCATCTTGCTAACCAGGAGAGTAGAAGAATGGTGGTGCCTTCAAGAGAAACAGGAAAATCTGGGAAAGGGGAGACTTAATGGGGAAAGATAATCAGTAAAGTTTTGGATATCTTAAGTTGAAGATGTCTCTTGGACATTCAGCTTGACATGTCCAAAAGGCAACTGGCAATCTCAGACTGAAACTCAGGGGAAAGACCTGGAGGCATGTATAAAGAGATGACCATTAAACCCATGGGAATTGATAACTTCTTGAGAAAGAGAGCAGAGGGAGATGAGAAAAGTGTCTAGAACAGGAAAAGGAGAACACCTACAGTTAGGGAGCAAGCTGTGGATGATGAATCAGCTGAGGAGACTGAAAGTGAACTCCAAGAGAGCAACGTCACAGGATATCCAGCAAAAGACAGTGGACAATAACATAAAATGAAGCAGATACAGCAAGAAGGGTTACAACTGAGAAAAGGCCATCAGATCTGGCAATTAAGAGGTCACAGATCACTTTGAGGAAGTCAGAAGCTGATTGCCAAGGGGTGAGGAGTAAGCAGAGGATGACAGCTTGAGGGAGGGAACAGGGTCCAGTGAAGGCCTTCCAAGAGTGGAGGAGACCCGGGCATATTTGAAGATAGCAGGAAAGAAAGAAGTTGATAGGGGGAGATTAAGGATTTGAGAATGAGGAAGGGTGACTGAGGATGCAATCTGTGAAAGAAGTCAGGAGGGCACGGGATGTATTATGAAATAAACACAAACCTGTAATCCGCCCCCGAGGGATGCTGCAATAGTATTTAGTTCACTCTGTTTCTTACTGAGTTTTTTACTAACACATAGAACTACGTGGTGAAGTGGTTTGGGGTCTTCCTCCTGTATGTAGGGGAAAAGAAAGATCAACCATAAATAATGTCTCAAATCACATTATTATATAACATCCCGTCCACTGTTAAGTAACCAATTCTACCTTCTCTGCTTGGGTATCCTTCAGCACAGGGCTGGCATTAAGAGCTACTGTGTGGCGAGTGCTATTTGCCAAAGCAAGTTTCAAGTTCTTGCCAATAACTTCAGAAAGGGGGGTACTCATTCTTCTGCATCGCTGACTGGGACCTAATGGAGTTTCCAAGGCTGCCAGTGCATCCTATTGATAAAGGAAACAGATTAATTTAGCTATCTCGTCACCTGGTTGTTTTACACCCCAGATTTTTTACTTAGCCTGAAATAAATAAAAATTCTACATATGACAAAGGGGGAAAAATTCTGATTTTGTGGCAGTCTTGTTTGAAGTACTATACCAGACTGTTTAAAAATCAAGCCTGCTTTAAAAAAAATTTTTTAACTCTTAAAAAAACCCCTCAACCCTCAAATAAATAAACAAACAAAAAGACAAATAAAAAAAGCCTGCAAAAATTTTACCAGGCTCTGCCATATTTATATTCACCAGGGCCCCAGAATGAAGTAACTGAAATAGGAAATATGTAATTATCACTTGCTTACTGCATGAATTAATATAAATCCCATTAGCCAAAAAAACTATAAGAGAAGCTCTCTATAGCACTGTGCAGTTTACAATATATCTTCATCACAACAACCTTTGCAGTAGAGCATTATTACCCCCATTTTAGATGAAACAGGCTCAGAGAAGTCAAATGACTTTTACAAGGCCCCATAGCTAGTAAATATTTTAGTATTTTGAAACCCTGGTCTCAGGTGCTCTAATGCATCAAGTTGCCTGCTTCTGAATATATTAGGAAAGGATACATATAAAAAATGGAAGGATGAATATAATAAGAATAGTCACAACTCATGTTAGACTGTGCTTTAAGGTTCACAAAAGAATTGGTTGTATAAGTATCAGTATCCCCATTTTACAGATGAGGAAACCGGGGCCAGAAATTTTAAGTCCCTTGTCTGTGGTCTCAAAGTTAGTAAGAAGTAGAGCTGGGATTCAAACCCAGGTCTCCTGAATCTAAGTCCAGCATTCTTTTCACTGTTATTTAACATAAGGGTAGTTAAAGTGAGCTAAAATGAGCCGAGGTTTGTGAAAAATGCTAGACATTAAAAAGGTTTTACTTTTAAAAAAATGATGAACAAGGCAGGTAAACTAGGAAATATGGCATATTTTTAAACAATAACAGAAAGGAGGCAGAATGACTCCTGTTTTGTCCCCATTTTCTTCATTGTGCGGAGAGAACTGATGAGAAACTGAGGCAAAGAGGTGGCAAGAAAATAGAGACCTCCCTCAACTTCAGGTCAGTCACATGCAAAAGCCCCTCTAGGAGCCACTGCTGGCCACGCTGGTTCTTGCATAGCACAGTGCCTGGCACAGAGGAGACTCTATTGGTGCTAACTGACTGACTGACAGATTTGTATGATCACAGAACTCCTGCTGGTTATATCTAAGACGTCTTGGAGAAAAAGAGAGTAATTCCAAGACCCAAAAGGGAAGAAAAGGGCACAGTTAAAATCTGGATAAATACGCTTGATGTCATTCAAAATGTAGACGAAACAGATAAAAGGTCATCACAAAAAGCAAGCACAAGCTCACTTTGAATGGGTCATCCAAAATGAATTTCCTTTTTATTTAGCATCTCTGGACTACACACAGACTGGGAGAAATTACAGATACAGGACTTCTTAATTTCAACAAGGCACTTGACAATTTCTTACAGTATTCTTTAAGCTGGTTGGGAATATAGGCCATCTCCAACTGGTGCTTATGTAGATTTGATTACTTATTTTGACAGGAAAAAGCACTCCAAATTCCAATGTTAGAAATAGTAGCTAGGTTCCTAAATCAATCCTCCCAAAGTCTGTTTAACATATTACTATTTCTGAAGTATACTAGTGGTAGAGAACCTAACCACCATGTACAATAATGATTCTTTAGGTAAATATATTTAGAATTCAAATTTGCATTTCCAGTAACGAGGGTCGGATCTCTCTCCCTTCTTGGTTTTAGGCACAGGGGTTGACTACGTAGTTAGGTGAATTTCTAACTGTCTGAACACACATGCCAAAACAAGACATTTGTGTGCCCCAGGTTATTAGGTTTGAAAATTGTGGCACTATACATTATAATCCATTGGAAGTTTTAGACCACCATTCCAGCAGATCTGAATTGACTTCTAAAAAAAATACTGATGGCTTACGGAGAACGAAGTTTTCTGACATTAAAAATCTGTTTTTAAAAACACAAGTATTCCTTGCTGGGCTTTTCTTGATGCTCTTCTCTAAGAAGCCAACTATTTTGACATCTTCAGGACCAGCTCTTTCTTTTTTTGTTTTGTGAGAGTATTTTTTATTTAAATATATAAATGTATTTATTTTTAGTTTTCAACATTTACCTCCACAAGATTTTGAATTCCATATTTTCACCCCATCTTGCCCCTCCCCCCACCCCAAGATGGCATGCATTCTGAATACCCCTTCCCCTAGTCTGCCCTCCCTTCTATCTCTCCCCCCGCCTTCTCTTATCCCCTTCCCCTTCTATTTTCTTGTAGGGCAGGATAGACTGTACTTCATTTCCTGTATTTCTTATTTCCCAGTTGCATGTGAAACATTTTTTTTAAACATGTGTTTTTAAAACTTTGGGTTCCAAATTTTCTCCCTTCCTCCCACCCCACCCACCCTCATTGAAAAGGCAAGCAACTCAATATAGGTTGTACATGTGCAGTTATGCAAAACACTTCCATATTAGACATGTTGTGAAAAACTAACTCTGTTTCCCTTAATCCTATCCTGCCCCCCATTTATTCTATTCTTTCTTTTGACCCTGTCCCTCCTCAGAAGTACTTCCTTCTGATTACCCCTTTCCCAATCTGCCCTTCTCTCTATCATCCCCCTCCTCCCCTATTTTCCTATAGGGTAAGACAGATTTCCATACCCAATTTAGTGTGTATGTTCTTCCCTCCTTAAGCCAAATCCTATGAGAATAAGATTCCTCATTCCTCTCACCTTCCCTGTTTCCCCTCCACTGTAAGAACTTTTCTTGTCTGTTTTGTGAGATAATTACCCCATTCTACCTCTCCCTTTCTCTTCTCCTAGTATAATCCCTCTCACCCTTAATTTTATTCTCCAGATACCCCTTCATCTTCAACTCACCCTGTGCCTCTATCTATCTACTATACATATAATTTTTCCTCCACTACCCTAATACTGACAAAGGTCTCATGAGTTATAAATATCATCTTTCCATGCAGGAATGTAAACAGTTCAGCCTTAATAAGTCTCTTATGACTTGTCTTTCCTGTTTACCTCTTCATGTTCCACTGGAGTCTTGTATTTGAAAGTCAAATTTTCTATTCAGCTCTGGTCTTTTCATCAGAATGCTTGAAAGTCCTCTATTTCACTGAATGACCATTTTTTCCCCTGAAGGATTATACTCAGTTTTGCTGGGTAGGTGATTCTTGGTTGTAATCCTATCTCCTTTGCCCTCTGGAATATTATATTCCATGCCCTGCGTCCTTAATGTAGAAGCTGCTAAATCTTGTGTTATCCTGATTGTGTTTCCACATACTTGAATTGTTTCTTTCTGGCTGCTTGCAATATTTTCTCCTTGACCTGGGAACTCTGGAATTTGGCTACAATATTCCTAGGAGTTTTCCTTTGGGGATCTCTTTCAGGGGAGATCGTGGATTCTTTCAATTTCTATTTTGCCCTCTGGTTCTAAATATCAGGGCAGTTTTCCTTGATAATTTCTTGAAAGATGATGTCTAGGCTCTTTTTTTGATCATGGCTTTCAGATAGTCCAATAATTTTTAAATTCTCTCCTGGATCTATTTTCCAGGTCAGTTGTTTTTCCAATGAGATATTTCACATTGTTTTCTAATTTTTCATTCTTTTGGATTTGTTCTACATGTGTGATTTCTCATAAAGTCACTATCTTCCAATTGCTCTATTCTAATTTTTAAGGAAGTATTTTCTTCAGTAAGCTTTTGGACTTCCTTTTCCATTTGGCCAATTTTTCTTTTTAGGGCATTCTTCTCCTCATTGGCTTTTTGGACCTCTTTTGCCATTTGGGTTAGGCTTTTTTTAAGGTGTTATTTTCTTCAGTATTTTTTTGGGTCTCCTTTAGCAAGCTGTTGACTTGTTTTTCATGATTTTCTTGCATCACTCTTCAGTTTTTCCTCTACTTCTCTTACTTGCTTCTCAAAATCCCTTTTGAGCTCTTCCAAGGCCTGGGACTGATTCATATTTTTCTTGGAGGCTTTGGATGTAGGAGCTTTGACTTTTTGTCTTCTTCTGGTTGTATTTTGATCTTCTTTGTCACCAAAGTAAGATAATATAGTCTGACTCTTTTTGCAGTGCTTGCTCATGATCCCAGCCAACTACTTGAGTTTTAAACTCTTTGTTAAGGTAAAGTCTGCTTCCAATGTGGAGAATGTACTGTCCCAAGCTTGGGGTTTGTATAGCTGTTTTCAGAGATACTTGTAGGGACCTGTAAATTTTCAGTTCTTCCAAGGTGGTATGATAAGGGTCGAGGTGTTTACTCTTTTCCTGGCCTGGCTTGGTCTTTAGTGACCACAAGCAGTCTTTCTCTCTTGGAACTGTGAGGAGGTTTCCTCTCCACAGCCACTACAAGCTCCACCACGCCAGCGCCCCTCTTCACCCCAGGACTACCACCCAGAACTGTGACCCAGATCCAAACACGGGCAAAGCAAGAGATTCCTGCCTCAGCACCAGCAAAGAGATCCCTGCAGTCCCCCTCTGATCAGCCACTTGATTCCCCCTCAGTCTGTGGGGCGGAAGCTCAGGACGCAGCCACCACCCCGGTGCCCACGCTGTGCTCTCTGAGCTCTGGAACTGGCTCTGAACTAGCTCTTCTCTCACCACAAGAACAGACTTTTCCCACTGACCTTCTAAGTTGTCTTTGGCGTTCGTGGATTGAGGAGTCTGGAAGCCGCTACAGCTGCCTGTGATTCAGTCCTCTGAGGCCTGCTCTAGGTTCACTGCAGCCTGTGCACCCACTCTGAACTGCATTCCTCTCCCCACCCGGCGAGATATGCCTTTCCAATCAACCATCCAGGCTGTCTTGGGCTGCAAATTTGTTTTACTCTGTCTTTTTGTGGGTTCTGCTGCTTCAGAATTTGTTTAGAGCCATTTTTTTGTGGGTATTTGGAGGTGTTTGGGGGAGAGCTC